GTCATTTAACTATGTTATTACAAGTTCAGTTGTAAATAAAAGAGTATCTTTAATTAGTTTGTCATTCTTATTATTTATGCACATGCTGCATGTATAATGTTAAGGGTACGAATTCTAGTCTCAATTTTTTGTACAAACTATAAATTGTCCTTGTTTTATTGATGTCTAAAAGATTACTATAACAATCAATAATAAAATATTATATTTATCATTGAAAAGATGACTTAAAATTAGGGGAATTGTCTTTGGTCAGGCACTTGAAAAGTGCCTGACCGAAACAGTAGTTGTATAATTTTGTATAAATTGTATATATTTACATGTAAAGTCATGTATATTTATATATAAAGTCGTGTATATTTAACATGAAATACAACAAATCAGCCAATATACATATTTTCATGCTATGTGTTCACTAATTGCTATAAAAAATACATATTTTGAGGATTAATATACATTATCGTGTCTTATAACTTAACATATACATCTTTACATGTAAATATACACGATTTTATATGTAAACATACACGATTTATGCAGAATTATACAACTACCGTTTCAGTCCGACAAACAGTAAGTGCCGGTTTAAAGACCTTACCTAAAATTAGGACAAAAGTTTACATTTTTGAGTTATGGTTACTTGAGTGTAGATCTTGAGTTGAATTTGAGTTATAATTTGAGTTGAAGTTGTAACTTGAGTTTGTGTTTGGATGTGCATATTTGAGTTATGATTTGAATTGAGAATCTATTTGAGTGGGTCAAAACTTGAATTTGTATTTAGATAGTATTTTAATAAAAACTCAATGGTGATGAAAAATTTTAATATTTATTATTTTCTTTTTCTCTTTATTTATTTCAAGATTTGTTTTCTTTTATTTTCTTTATTTTAGTTTAATAATTTAAACCCTTTCTTCTATATTTTTTTTCAACAAAATTAATAACTTATTAATTAAACTCAATCCTCTGCAGTAATGATCCTTACTCACAACTGTGCTCAACAATGATCATATCCTAGCAAGGTTTTAATTTGACAAACCGCTAGGAAACACATCAAAATTTTGGCACCGGTTGGCGGGGATTGATTCTTTATTATTTTTTTTATTAGTTTTGTTTTCTAGGTTTTAGGTTTTCTTTGTTTTTATATTTTATCTTATGAGGTACTTTGAGATGTTGTATCAATGAGTCCTCTTGAGTTTTTTCTAACAGGATTTGAAGTTGTTGCATAGTGCTTGGTCGAGGTACAAAAATTTGCTCATTCGGTTTTCTTATCATGATTTCTTAAAAGGAGGGTCAACTTGAAATCTTCCTTAATGGTTTATTTTTCCGAACAAGACTTTGGATGGAAAGAGGAGATAGTACCACCACTTTCTATCAACAATCAATATATGAAGCCTACTACATGTTAGAAGACATGGTCGAGTTCGATCATTGGAATTGGAGTTGTTCAAGGAATAACCAAGGTTGAGAGGACAATTCCAACATTATGGAGCCATGGTATGACACTCAACCTCAAGAGCTGGAGTCTTTACTTGAATTACAAGCTTTAGTTGCTCAAATAAATACGAGGGACTTTAAAGCCATGATGACTCCAAGTATGGCAAGTGTCAATGAAGATCTTGCAAGAAGTAGGGAGGAATTAAAACATCACATGGAAGAACTTAGATCATCAACCCTGGATGTTCCAATTGAGTACATGCAAGATTGCCATCGAAAAACTGTTACCAAGAGAGGAGTATTTGGATAGTTTTGATTAAGACTCTAAGTGATGAGGTGAATCAAGACTTGGTTATTGAAGAAAAGTCACAAGAAGTCTTTAATTCCCAACCTTTTGTTTTAGGTCATTTAACTATGTTATTACAAGTTCAGTTGTAAATAAAAGAGTATCTTTAATTAGTTTGTCATTCTTATTATTTATGCACATGCTGCATGTATAATGTTAAGGGTACGAATTCTAGTCTCAATTTTTTGTACAAACTATAAATTGTCCTTGTTTTATTGATGTCTAAAAGATTACTACAACAATCAATAATAAAATATTATATTTATCATTGAAAAGATGACTTAAAATTAGGGGAATTGTCTTTGGTCAGGCACTTGAAAAGTGCTTGACCGAAACAGTAGTTGTATAATTTTGTATAAATTGTGTATATTTACATGTAAAGTCATGTATATTTATATATAAAGTCGTGTATATTTAACATGAAATACAACAAATCAGCCAATATACATATTTTCATGCTATGTGTTCACTAATTGCTATAAAAAATACATATTTTGAGGATTAATATACATTATCGTGTCTTATAACTTAACATATACATCTTTACATGTAAATATACACGATTTTATATGTAAACATACACGATTTATGCAGAATTATACAACTACCATTTCAGTCCGACAAACAGTAAGTGCCGGTTTAAAGACCTTACCTAAAATTAGGACAAAAGTTTACATTTTTGAGTTATGGTGACTTGAGTGTAGATCTTGAGTTGAATTTGAGTTATAATTTGAGTTGAAGTTGTAACTTGAGTTTGTGTTTGGATGTGCATATTTGAGTTATGATTTGAATTGAGAATCTATTTGAGTGGGTCAAAACTTGAATTTGTATTTAGATAGTATTTTAATAAAAACTCAATGGTGATGAAAAATTTTAATAGGGTATATGGGTGGAGCTTTATTCGTCTCTTCGTTGTGAAAGCATAGAAAAAAATCATCTCAATTGGAATTAAAACGAAAAAGTTATGACGTTTTTAAGAATAGAAAAAATATTGTCATTAACTTGAGTTTGAGTTTAAGAACTTGAGTTGAAGGGGAAACTTGAACTCTCACTGATTCAAGTTTAGAATTTGAGTTTTGCTACAGTAAAAAACTCTTAAAAACAATCACATATAACTTTTTTGCTACAATAAAAAACTCTCACATAAAATCACATCTCAACTCGCATTAAAAACTCAAATCAGCGAACTAAACGGGTCCTGAGATTTTAGCCCTAAACTCAAGTTAAAACTCAAGTTTTACAAATGAACATGGACTTAAAAAAAAATTGTAACTTGAGTTCAAACTTTTTTTGAGTTTTATTCAACAAGAACAAGCCCTGAGATTTGAGTTGGTATCTTAACACTATTTATTACTCATGCTTTACACTATCCCAAAAGGGCAAAAACGTCCTTAATCCGAGTTAAAACCCCAAGTTAATTATTCATTAAAAAAATCTAGAGTATCAACCATTCCATGCCATATACCAAAAGGCAAAAAAGTAACCATACTCTTTTTATAGTTGGAATAGAGTTGCAAGTTTGAGCTGTGTTGGGTCGCTACTGTTTGTTTGGGCTCAGCCTTAAATTTTTTGGGCTTAGGGTCGGGTTGGGCTGACTCGGTTCGGCCCAAACATTATATTTTTGAAGATTTTTTTAAAAATACCTTATAAAATTTCGGACTTAAGATCGGGCTGGACTGCCCCTCTCTCATTTAGAGCCGACCCAGCTCGACCCAAAATTTCACTTTGGCCCAGGCTAGGTGGCCCAAACTTACACATTTAAGCTAGAATAATAAAAGAATATGGAAATGCATTCTTGAAACGTATCATAAAATGTGCATTCATTTTTAAACACATACTAGATACTCATAACAAGTTGTGCCGGGAGAAAATTCCCGACACTGTGTTGAGAAATGACTTGTATATATATATATATATATAACTTGTGAATTTTATATTAAAACTTATAAATTCGAATGATAAAATTACGAAAATTACAATAAAATTTTGAACGGGTAAAATGCCGTGAAGCCATCATAGAAGGACCCCAAGTTGTTGTCATAAAGAAACGTCTGGGTAGGGTCTCCTTGGAATTCATTACCACCCATTTTTCCAGAAAGCCCTTCTTGTGGTCACAGAAAATAGAAGAGCTAAAAGACAAGCCATCAACATCATCTTTATCAGAATTAATGAGCAGAAGAAACAAAATTAAATCTAACTAACGTTATATATGATGATTCGGCCATATTGTGTTAAATGTTGAGCAATAAACCCAACCACTAATTTTGTGTTACCATCTACACAGCTTGGAAGGTTTGATGAATTGACCCAATCATGTGACATTGCAATTTGCATGTGTAAAATAAATTTGAATGCTCAGATTTCTTTTGCTGTTGCTAGATATGGGCGTGTTTAATGTTTCTTTTCTTTTGCTTTTTCTTTTTCTTTTCCTTCTTTTGAACAAAATTGTCAAAAGCAAGTTAATTCTTTCTCACAGGTTCAAGACTCAATTCATTATTATGGCCCAACTTGCCTTCTGCCATATGCAACTCTGAGAGCAAGATAATGATGTGTATTCAGAATAATTAATAGATGAAAACTTCAAGTTCTAAGTCTTACAGGAAACATTTCAGACTATTTTCAAGTTATTGGTTGGTCCAATATTCACTATTTTCAGGTTATTAATTGGTTAAATACTCATTAGTAGTAGGTATAGCCAGTCGGTAATCATCCTTCTCCACGCTTTTTATTTAAAAAAAAAAAAAAAAATCTCAAAAACTATTTAATTTTTCCTTTTCTTTTTCCTCTTTATTGAGGAATTTAAAAGTTACCATGTCAATTTCATGTCTTATTTTATATATGTCTCACAATGAGTGGATATTATGTTAGTCTTTAGCTTTATTATGGCATGATTCTCAATTATTTGGGACAGGAAGAGAGAGAGTATAAGGTTTCAAAACTAATCAAGGGATGCAAGCAATTGGTCCTATTTATTTGTTCCCATTTTTCTGTCTGGCATGATAAAGCTGTTATGTTAGCTAGTACCCTATAATTTCATAACCTTATCATGATCCCTTGAGGTTTTTTTTTTTTTTTTTCTTTTTTTTCTCTAATTTTTCCTCTTTTTTTTTTTTTCTTTCCTCTAGTTTTTTTACATGACATAACATGTATAGGTGATCGTTACATTAGTGGGACAGGAAAAATGAAACAGATCGTCATGATTATAATTTACATCAGAAAAAAGTTTCCCTTGAATCATATTTTGAGTCCGGAATAGCCGTTAAACAAGGATAACTATATACAACAGATACAATTAATTAAAGAAAGATTACATTACAGTTAAGCAATAAGTGATCAGATAATGCTATATATATTTATATATTGCGAGACATATTCGAACACAAAAAACATCTCTAAATGGACCAACTATAGGCTAGTACAAACTAGAGCTTAATATGTTTTAGTTTTGAGCACTCTTCTATTGCACTCAAGGTGTTTGATATTCAGCCTCTGTGAATGTGGGGGGTCGGCAAGTTAGGGAGGCAGAATTGGGGGCAAAAGTGTTTTGCAGGTTTTGCGGAGGAGAGGTAGCTGATGGAGCAGCCGAAGTTATGGAAGATGAGAATCCTGATGATGCTGCATTGGAGAAAACCGGCATAGCTGTGACACCATTCGATGTGGCAGTGCTACCGTTGCTGCCGTGAATTTTCCATGCCCAATTCAAAAATCTCGGCGAAGAATTAACCGCTTCGACCGCCCTCTTCTGATGATCTGTTGCACTTGCCCTCTCCTGTTAAAACGTGTCATAATTTTTCAAAGTCTTTGACAAGAAAATTTTGATCATTGTTTAGAATGAGCCAAAGAAAGGCACAGTTACGCCCCGTTTGGTTCGTAAATTTGAATATGAATTTAAATTTTTATAAAAAAAAAATACTGTAATAAAAATGCTTAAATAACTACGGCCGTTGGATATTTTGGCGAAGGAAATGTGGGCAAGCTTATAAAGTACCTCATGTTTTGATAAGAAACCAGGATATATCCCAGAACATGTAGCTGAAGTGTGGTTGGATGTCACTGCTATAACATGTGGGGATTGTCCATCAATCTGTGAAGTTATGGGGACCAATGATTAACTGTTAGAAGACAAGACTTTTTGTTTTTTTTTTTTTTTTGCCTAAGAAATTAGAAAACAAACATTAGTGTATTGTACCATTGGTTTGACTCTGTTGGGCACTTCACAAGCGTTCCAGTGAAACCGAGATTCTCCAAGAGAGTCCTTCCCCTTTGGCTCAACGGACGGCGGAGAAATCCCAAGATTCAGATCAAGATTGTGGTCAATGCCTGCAACAGTAGAATCTGTGTCACATATTTAGTAGTAAGGGACGCTCCTAATTAAAAAATCCCGCGACACCGAGAGAGAAAACAAAAAAAAATCGAAAGAGCATTGCTATTCAACTTCACAGTACTTTTGATACATACAGACATACTAAACAAACGACCTAATGATCCACCGACAGTAAAGACTCGTGTGGGTCTCGTGTACCGCTAAACAACAAACGACCTAAACAGAAGCAATCTTCTAGCGGTTTCTCTAATAGGAAAATAACCGTTTGTTTACTTCCAATCACAACTCAGTTTTTTTGTTACAATAATTTTACTAACAAAAATTAAATTAAAATTTTTTTATTATATTATTTTTTTTCTTACATGAATTTATTTTTTTTTTAAATTCTCAACTCGGTAGTACCTTGAGCATTGGAATCAAGGATTATCTCCCCTTGGTAAGTACTGTGCTCAAAGTTGGTGACTGCTTCCCTTCCATTACATTTGATGGCAGCTTTGTCATAAGCCCTGGATTTTAGAAAAAGGAAAAAAAAAAAAAAAAGGACAAAAGATGTGCTGGGTTAAAATCCCATCAAAACCAGATTATATTTATATTTATTATTATTATTGCATAAAAGAATATTTATGATATTTGTCTGATGAGTAACAATTTGAATTCTTCATTATTGATCACAAAATTTATGACCTTGCCGCTTCTTGTTCGGTGTCGAATAACCCAAGATAAATATACCTGCAAGGAATTAGAATCATGGTTTTATAGGTACAAAAGGGTAGTCACGCCCAAGCCAAGCCAGGCATTTCTTCTTTCGTCTACTTATCAAGTACTATTGTTTTGTCTCACCATTTAAGGAAATAATAATCACAAAAGTGACATGGGATTTTCTCAAACACCTAAAACTATTAAAAGAAACTCTTCCAATCATTCGGAGTACTATATATATACACATACACACACATGTATATATAATATATTTACAAAGAATTAATGGTTCTCACTTTTTGCCGAGGAATTGTCCCATTCTAGCTTCCCAACGACCACATTTGTGAAGAGTCACTCCTCTATATTTAGAGCTTCCCCTAGCAAATCCAGTGCTTTGCCTCCTAAGAATTTGCACGAATTCTTCCTTGCTCAGATTCTTCATCTGATTAAATCATGAAAATCGAGATTAATAATTAATGAAAACAAATACTAAATATATTTAAACTCCAAATTAAGGAAGTTAATAATTATTATTGATGAACTTGTAGTATTTTAATCCCACCTGTTTCACGTCTTCCTCGTAATCGCTTACATTAAAGTTGATATCAGCGTCAACTCCACGGAATTTAATTGCAGCTCGATCATAAGCTCTGAAATCACAAATTCCCAGTAATTAATTAATCGAAATTTAACTACAAAGAGACTATTATGGCTATTAAAATTCGTATTTTGTATGAAAGAAAAAAGGTATTTTTATTAGTAGCTTTTTTTTATACATACCTAGCTGCAGCATGAGCAGTGTCAAATCCACCTATAAAAAATCCCCAGAGAAAATAAAAATAAATTAGCCAAGAGCTCATCTGAAAAACATGAAATAATCACCACTGAAAAAAAAAAAAAAAAAAAATTACCTAAATATACTTGCTTTCCACAATCCCTATAAAAATTGAAAAAACAAAATAAGATTAGTGAAAACAAGATTACGGAATATATAGTACTAAAACATGAACTACACCAAATGAAAATTAAACAGAATAAGCCTAAGACCTTGATCTAATGGCACGGAGAGATTTGGGTACAGAATTGTGGGTACAACCCCGTGTTGTATAAAAAAAATAAAAAAAATAATTAAAAATAAACTTTGTTTCTTTCATGGCAAACGCACCAGATATGGGACTCCCACCGGCCAGTTCTCCGGTAGAACGTGACGCCGCGGTACTGCGAGCTGCGGGACCTCGGCCCGCGGCGGCTCTTCTTCACTTGCTGCTTCTGCTGCATAACTCTCAGCTCCACCGGAGCCGCAGGCGCCGGCGCCACTTGCCCGGCCCCCGCGGAGTCCGCAAACGACAAATTCAGCCACTGCGGCCTCGACGACGACGACAAGTACCCGGAAACAGCCGCCGTGGCCACACACCTCTCCGCCTCACCGGACGCCACCGGAAAAAACGAGCGGGTGACGAATCCCGGCGGCGAGGGGCTAATACTAATTCTGTCTTCGAGGCCGTCCTTCTCCTTCTTCAATATGTCGAAGATCAATGCCTCGGTGTTGTTGGAGTTGGAGTCTAGCACTTCGTCTCCGGCATTCGAAGAATTCGGAGCTTCGAATTCGGCATTGACGACGGAGGAGTTGGGCGAGCCGGAGTCCTCCATTGGGGCGCTTCTAGAACCTTCTCGAACCTCCATTATCACCATCTCTGCCTCCTCCTCGTCACAGGTCGAATCCGCGGCCACAACGTTAACGTTAAGATCCAACATATTTTGTCTGTCTGCTATTTCTCTGCTGGTTTTCTTAAAAGTTTCGCTAGATTAGAAAAAAAAAATAAGAATAAAAAAACAAACCCAGAAGCTGAAAACTCTAAAAGTACAGTCTGGATCAAAGGAGGGAAAAAAAAAGTTCAGAACCCAAAAAAAATAAGGGATTGATTAGAGAGATGTTCTTGAGAAAATATGGAGATCAGAGAAGGGGAAAATTATAAAGGAAAGAAAAATTAGAGAGAGAAAGAGGAAAAAGACTGTAGTTGATAAGAGAGGTTATGGGTATGAGGAAGGAATAGAATAATAAAACAGACTGGGGTTTGAGAGAGAACTCAAAGAGGCTAAAAAGAAAGAGATGGGGACGTGTTGGCTGTGAAGTTAGAGAACTCTTAACACTTGCCCTTCCTTTTGGATGGGGGTTACAAATTTTACATTACACAGAAGATAATACAGTACAACTCCCTTTGCCAAAATCTTTTTACCCTTTTGGGCACTGACTAAAGAAATGAGGCTTTTATGGTACTCAATAGATGTATTCTTTTTACCACTTAAATTACAATTTTAATTGTTTTATGTGAGTAAAAAACTATAGGAACAAAGTTAAATTTGAATTTTTATGAGAGATTAAACACTATAATAAAAAATTTAATTTATGAAAAGAACATTTTCTCGGGTGCATATTTGTGAACGTTAAATCTGATTAATTTCATAAATAGTTTCTTAAGTTTACCTTTAATTTTATTTTAGTCTCCGATATTTAAGAATATCTCATAATTAGTCTCTAAAGTTTTATTATGTTTCAGTTTCGGTTATTCCATTAGTTGAGTGTTAAATATTTGAAGAAATTTGTATAAATTAGGGACTAAAATTTAAAAAAATTAAACTTTAAAAATTATATGTGGAAATTAACTTTTGTTTTTTGCGATTGTTTTACTCCATAAACTTTAGATGTTTTCAACTTTGGTCCTTAATTTTCACATATTTCATCAAATATTTAATACCTAACTAACAAAATAACTCAAATTAAAATAAAGTAAAATTTTATAGACCAACTGTAAAAAATTTTAGAAGTTAAAAATTAAAATGGGATTGATAGTAAATCTTGAAGACAATTTACAAGATTAACCCATTTCGTTAAAGATAAAGGGTATTTTATTGGACCTCGCCATAGAATTCTAACTTTAAGAAATACCCTTTCCAAACTCCTTAGTTAAAAAAATAAAAAAAACTTAAGTTTGAGCCTATTATATATCACCCAAAACAATACCTTACGGAGACATTAATCAAAAAAAAAATATTATACCTTACGGTACAAAAATAATGTTCATATTAAGTTCTACAAAGGTTCAAAAAGTATTTATTAAGGGGGAAAATCAATGAAAAGCAATGTCAGCTAATTCCATATTCTTTAGTTAGTATCCACAGTGGACATTTATAAGCTCCGCAGACGATTAATGCGGTTGAAATGGTGGAGATAGCTAGAAAGTGATTATTAAAATAAGTCAGCAGTATATGTGGCAGTCTGGCATAAAGCTTTTACACACGAGGAGGGTTAAAAAAATGTTAATACTACAGAGTACGGGTTTATAGGGTTTGACTACATTCCTCCGGTATGAAAATGGAGGATTTGTTCCCTTGTGTCATCGTAACCGATTCATTTGCTATCTTAATCGGTTAAAAGATTAGTATAATTTTCTTATATTAAGTCGTAATAATTATTATTTTAAAAATTAAAAATTAATTTTAAGCATATAATTATAAATGACTTTTATCCACACATATCATGAATAATTATATGAATTATATTAAAAGATACGTCAATAAACGACTGTTATTTTTACTATTAGTATCAGTTGTTTCATCGCAATTGATTGTAGTTTTTAAATCTAAATAATATTATCGTGAAGAATTATATATGTTATGTTCTTTTTTTGATAGGCACATCCGGTCATGCGTCAACATTTGTTTGGAGCAGTGCATGACATTTGTTTATTGCCATCTATTTAAAAAGGACTTCTAGTTACCAAAATAGCACTTATTACGACTCAATACAAGATAATTACATTAATCATTCAATCGGTTACGCTAATCCTTTAAACTGCTACGATGGAGGAAATTTCTCCCATAAAAGTGGTGAGGGATCACAGAAAAAGCCAAATTTATATTGTCATATTTGATTTTCGTTAAATTTCATCAAATTTTTTTTTCCTTTTTAAGAAAAATGAGGAAAGTATACCAAATCAAGAAAAGGAAAATATTAATACTAATCTATATAACCTCAAATTATAAGAAAATTGAAAAACCATAACCCTCATAGACAAGCAATTTGACCAGTAAATTCAAATGAAACGTTTTAAAAAAAATAGATGTGTACTAAATTCTGAAAGTGGGCACCCAAATAGATGTATAAATAATCAAACATGCACATAGCTCTTTAACAACACTTCTACGACATGAAAAGATCCGATCGACCGAAATCAAGATAGCTGTAGCATCAAGACCACATAAAACACAATTAAGAAATAAAACTAACTGACTGAAAACACAACCTAACACTAAAAAAACAAAAAAACAAAAAACAAAACAAAACTAACACACCACAAACTCATGATAAAAGTCACCGTTATCACAATCCATAAAATGTAGAAAAACAAAAGAAAAATCACGAACACCGCTAACAAGATCTCTAATAATAAAACTAGAAGTTACATACTATACATGCATCTGTGTAGGTAGATTGAATGTCTTATTGGATAGATCGGGTGTGAATTCCTGGCATTCAACCGAACAGGTTCGATCAGCACGTGGGTAACGTGTCAGCATGGCAACGGGGTTGATTTAGAGCTAGGTGGTCTTCTTGCCAACTTGCCTCACGAACAAAAAAACTCACAATCCCTGCCTATTAACCCACATAAAGTTGAGAAGGTGCTGGGGGTGTCCTCGTCACGGGTCTGGGGTACTCACAATCTCTCATTTACCTGATTAGTTATATTCATCTTAAAATAAATAAATTTATTTATTTATCAATACAACCATACGAATTAATAATGGTCCGTTTGATTCACGCGTTTAAGTCAGTGATTATGTTTTGACTTTAAATTTTGTGAGAGAACCTATTAACGAGAACTTGTTTACATTCAATTTTTTGTAAGAGAAAAGTACTTTAATAAAATTAGAATTATAGTTTTAATAAAATTAGAATTATAGTTTTAAATACGTCAACGAAACGGGCCATAAGTTAATAATAAAAGAAATGTACTTTTGAATTTTTATATATAATATATGTAATATATTATACTTAAAATTATATATCATAGAATATTATACTTCATATATTTAGTTTAAAAATAGAGTATAATTAAACGGGCGGGTAAACTGAGAAATAGGATCAGAGATCGCCTCTAAACTCATTCTTGCCCTGTGACCCACGATGAATACTCGTTTACAATCTTAATCTATTTAAACCCGATTTTCTTGTCCCGTTTGAGACAGGTCCCTATGAATAAATGGGGTAAAATTGACATCCTCATATATCTAAATATGCCAATTGGCCCAAAAGCTTCCATTAATCTATCAACATTAGATATTTAAATTTTGGAAACATATTGGAGATTGATTATGCAATGTTAATGTCAAAATTTTATTTGAGAAATGGGTAAAAGATGAAATATTAATAGGTTATTCTATTTCCCGCTCCAATGCATTGCTATTTCAAATGCTATATTTTTTTTGTCATAATTTTTTTAGCATTGTAACTTACAAAAGTAATAAAATTTTAAACTTTGAATAACTTAAAAGATAATAATATGATAATCGTTAATTGAAAAATTCTAATAAATCAATCAATAACAACCAAATGTTATAATAGACATATGCTGTACTGAGTGACCACATATTGAATATCAATAGAACGTAGTACATGCAAAATTTAGCATAGAAAATATGGTTTTCTTTTTTACACATTTGTGCCTTGAACTTGTACGGTTTTAGCAACTTTTCCTCTAAATTTTTAATTTTGGTAAGTTGCCCTCTCAACTTATAAAAATGTTGTAATAGCCCCGATTTTGACAATGATTGTATTATATTAGTGTCGAAAAAGCATGTTCGATAAAAAATTCTAACATCCCAATACAAATATGACACAAATTTTTAAAAGTTCAGAAGATAATTTACTAAACCATGATAAATTTAGTAGGCAACTCTGAAAATAACACTGCATTGAAAGAACGATTTTCCACTAAATGCCAAAATAACGTTTGTATATTAGTTTGGAGTTGGATTATAGATGTTCTCGGTCATAGTAATTTTTATGTGCTGCCCACCCTAAACCCTAGGCGTTGCAGTCATAAAAATACTATGTTTATAGTTAAATTTGGAAGTCATGCCGGATTTCTATACGTGTATATATGTGTATTTTTGGTATGTAAAAAACAAAGTGTGATCTATTTTTGTTCAAACCGCAAGGAAAAGGGAGACCCTAAAACTTTGCTGGTTGCTAAGTCATAGGTCTTCATCTGACTGTGAATTGCAGTTAGCTGGCAGCATTCAACAACTTTGGACGGCCAGTCACCAATGTACGCGCTTGTTTGTGTCTTTGTGCGTGAATTCACACGCATACAATTCTATTCTCCATAAATAACCATATATATATATATATACACGAATGAGTTTTTAATGATTATATTTTTATAGAAGTTATTCGTCAAATATAAAAATTTAATGATTTGGCATAATAAAAATTTAATTTCATTAATTGTTATAAATTGTTTTGGTCAACTACTTAATTTATTACAACGATCAAAACAATATCTTGTTGGAAATAGTGTTATAAAAGTATGAGATGTAATAAGATATTTATTATTTATTTAATAAAATAGTTTATTCATTATTTTATGTGCATATATTATTAAATATTTTATGAATATCGCTGAAAATTCCATAATTATTTATGTGACCTTAAATATTCTATATAAGCATTATATGTGAGAAGATAATATTTAGGGAAAATAATCAAAATGATGTTCGTAATGAATTTAATTAATGTTCAGAATCTTTAATTAAAATATTAATAATACATGTAATTCCCATTCAGAATGGAACGGTGATATATGCATTATTAATATAGAGAGATATTGAATGAGTGTATTACGCATAATGAGATTATGTAG